CCTCCGTTCTAAGGGGAACGAGATAAGGGACCGCGGATAAGAAATAGACTCAATTAGCCCCGACCATAAATAAAAGTCGTCGCTCATTTATAGACAAGGAGCCCCAAAAAAATTGGAACAGCAAGCCTGCGCAGATAGGCACACGAACATGCCTAGACTTTGGCGCAACGGGCGCTGATGCCATACTGTTTCCTGGCACTGTGTTTTCTCTTCAACCGGAGACCCCAAAAGCTGCACCCCTTGAACCCAAACTTCACATGGTGTATTGTCTGAAATCAGAGTGTATAACTTTAACGTTTCTATTTGGAATTGGCTGCCATCATTCAAGACTGTAGGCAGACCAAACGTGCCCCCAGCAAGCATTGAGGGAGGGGTCCAGCAGCCATTCGATGGCAGGAGTCTACCCATTCAACCCTCCAGAGAGTGCGAAGGCTGAGGCCGGCTTTCATCCCCTCCCCTACCTATGCGCGCCCCCATATGGGGTATGTGGGGATCTCATGATGCTTTCAATGACTTCCATGTTCTATGTACGCGTACTTAAGGCAGGCTATATGAGAGGTGTCAATGAGCGGGGGTTGGGTGTTCACTAAGGGTAGGGGGTTAGCTTCGCTGTGGAAACACAAGCTTCACAAGATGACAGGTAATGGGAATGCACGTACTGTCTGATCAGTAGGGTTACCGCCTTGTTAGCAAACTGTCCTACACACAGTACACATCAGCTTGAGGTCAACCTGTACAATTGCTTGCAAATGGTGCCGCTTGGCTTTTCAATGTGTACATTGATGGGCTCACTCGTGATATGGGGTGTCTCAAATCAGAAGCTCGCTTGGATGATCCTTTGCTGTGGGGCACGTTGTGTTGTGGAGGCCTTCCCTGTCATGCGGCGCAGTGACGTGTTCATTTCTTCCGGGCTCTAGGCTGAGTCAATTGTGCCCTAGACCCTAAACCCTAAACCCCTAAATCAAGATGTGAGGAGTCAGGAGTTGCAGGATTGAATTTCCTTGGATCTCAGACTGCAAGCCGGCACCTGTGATCCCTATGAGATTGCCATTGCTACTGGCACTGGCATCGTGTCAAAGATTTATGTGTTTTACCTAGTTTCGGCTTCGCAGTTACAGGGTTGTTCTTCCCTTCTATGTGGCAGATGCTGGCACAGTATCAAACCTTGTGTTGATGCCGTGACTGATGCAGTGCATCTGTGTTAGGCTTGAAAAGGCGTACGTCCACACAACCCCGACGGGGGACTCTGATGCACACCAAGGTAAAACGGGGCTCAAAAGGTGGAATGAAGGTTGCCGGGCTAAAGGATCCGAAGTATATATACTCCGTTATATTGGAGCGTACTCCTTATACCCCACCTTCCTTTACCCCACCTTTGGTCGTCTGAAGGTATGAGTACTGTGCAAAGACGATGGGCCAGTCCCTGAACCCAGAAGATCTTTTCACCTACGAAGAGACTGAACTGCAAATATGGCAACCCTTTTCCACATCATGTATACTGGAGGATTTCTGCGAAAGTCTAAAGGGGTGACATTTCGGCTGGATTGAGGGGCACTACAGCACCGAGCTGGTTGCATGTTTTAATCGAGCCGAAGTCTGGGTGCATCGTGGTTGTTGTTTTTGTTGTTCATACTTCTGGTCACGCATCTAGCCATCAATGCTGTTCCCTTACCCTGTAGGGCACTAAAGGTCTCATGAATCCCCTAAACCCTAAACCCTAAGCCCACAAAAAACAGCAACTGAGGAGAAGGTGATTTGTGAGTACCCGCGGCAAGTTCGGAAGTTCATCAAAGAAGCCAAGTATCCCTCGCCAGAAGGCTTTCAGCAACTTTTCTGGGCTTCAGTAGGTCGACACTGCTTTTTTTGGTTGACACAAGGAACCTACAAGATTGTGTCTAAAATTCGGGGTCTGTTCTGTTGTTTCTCCACATTCTGGAAGCCTCATGACATCCATTCCACAAAGAGGGCGCCAACACCGGAGCAAGACCCCAATCAACTCAGTCCTTCCCAAAAATGCGCTATATGACCTCATACCCGAAAAAGGGGGGGTTGCATGTTCAAGTAGCTTTCTGGTTCTTGGTAGGGAATAAGGGGTATATATTATATAGGGATTATACAAGGATCATATTCCTTCATTCGTTCTTAAGAACCAGTAAGTTAGGGGAAGGGTAAAAGAAAGGGGAAACCAAGGCAGGTGACCTTGGAACGAGTGAATGCCCGCTGGGGTGATACAAAGCTGGACAGCGTCCTGGACCCGAGTCGAAGTAGGAACCTGAAGATGCCAGATGATCTTATGGCAAGTTTTTTAGGGAGCTTCCAGAAAAGGGGGAACCCCGATATAGACCCAAACATACGGTAACCCTACGTATTATACTGGCTCCCGAACAGGGGCCCCATTTTTTTGAAACTCCCCGTTGGTATGTTTCTTGAAGAGACAGGCTTGGCCCTTAGTTTAGGTTTTGGAATCTGTGCCAACGAAAGTCTTGGGGGAATAGAGATTCCCATAGAGCATGTCCACTGTGTTGGCATGGTGTTGCCTTTTTAAATCAAGTCTAGCCAATCTCGCTGCACAAGGGGGGCTTCTGATAGGGTTACGGGCTTGAAGGTTGCATTTCTAAACTCGGTTAGAAGTGCGATATCTACCCAACAAAGATCTACCAACAAAATTCAAATGTTAAGGACAGAGGACAAGGAGAAGCGACGATTTCTGTATGTCGTTGCAATAGATATGCATGAACGTGGGCTCCTGGACGGCCACTCGTCTGCCTTGGGCTTCAGGCCTCATCAAGGGGGCTACGTAACTCAGATTAGGGTTTAGGGTTTGGGGGAATTCGCTTATGCACATGTAAGCATAGAGGACACTGTGCGCCGGATAACTTACATTTTTGGGTTAATTTTGAGGGTAGACGATTAGACGTGACTAGAAAAAGCTGGACGCTTCATTTGTACCGCTGTGTTTTGATGCAGTTCAAAGCCAAGTTCTTAGCTGTTTGGCTGTTGCGCGCGGATGTGCAGGACGGTTCTTCAGAGTATCGTGGTTGGTTTGAAGTGAATGCTACAGGTAGCAATACTGGTACCCTCAGTCTGGAAGCTACCATGGTACTTACCTACTTCAGGATCGCCAGAATTCTGTCGGGGGTTTAGGGCATTCTAGTTGGTCCAAGCTTTCCTCCATCCAGAGTATGACAGGCTTTACGGGTCTCGTTTTTCCGGGTTGAAGGCGCTGATTCAGCGCAGTATGGTTTGCAGACTCAGCCAACGATGCATCCACAGCGGGCATTCGCTGGGAACTATCGAGGCCTCCTTAAAAACCCCATATCAAAAGACCATGTGGCCAAGCAGAAAACCTCTCGAACGGCAGCCCGCGAACCCTAACTCCTAGACCTCATGATTTCAACAAGCACGCGCTCCTTCGCTCAGGCAACAATCAGCCCACTGGAAGAGCTCTCCATGGTTGCAAACTTGCCTGCGAGGTGCAGCAGCTTCCATACAAAGCGGGCATAGCATAGACCCCAATATACATGATGATTCTCAGTATAGGGACTCCCCAAAAAAGGGGCCCCAGTTGAAGGGAGCCCCCACAGAGTTTAGGATTTGCACGTTTTGGGGTTCCAGATTAGAAACGTTTCCCTTACGTTGGGACCCTGAAGATACAGCGGGTGTGTAGGGACGACCAGGAGATGAGGGGGGCCACCGTCAGGATTGTTTACTGGTAGGCAGTATTTTGTGAGACTTCTGCTTGCTTTCTTCTATGCGGTGCTGTGTAGGCCTATCTCCCCAATCCGGCCGTACACCTGTCCTAGACAGGATACACAAAAAGTCGATGAGTCATAAAAATGGTTTTGCATATCACCTACATGGAGACTTCCAAAATATTGGGGGACGGCAACATATACTCACAGATAATCGGTGCTTCTGTGGCCACTCCCACAAAGGTGACATGCATCCTGCAAACCCCAAGCCGAAACCCTGATCCCTAAATCATACATACCCCTAGAACCGCCGTATAACGTCAGTCCACTTTAAACCTCCCTGAGCCCTTCGAGGCCTTCACGCTGAGCTCTGGATTGCGCCTCAGCGCTGCAAACTACGCCAAGACAGCGCCTGCCGCTGCCCCCCCGGCTGCCAAGGCTGTACCGCGGTATCGAAGTGCATGCAGGTTTTCTTTATACGGTTCTGTTAGCTTCAGGGTATGGTGCCTTAAAGCCATTCAGTGCTCAGCAAATTGCGTTCAGAGCGGAATAGAGGGTGATTTGTGTTTTTGGTTTCCTGCCTTCCTTTCATGTTTCTCAGATCCTGGCTTACCTTGGCCAAGATTCTGTTCTGCTGGAATGCGCTGGTCTGATAAGATAGGTTTTTGGGGCATAAAACAAATACTTCCCAATACAAATGTAAGGGTTGCAAGAGGAAAATGCCCCGAATTGTTGAATCATGTTCATGAATCAATGAAGATTGCCCTTTCTGGATTCCGAAGGTGGTCTGAAGCCTGTGAAGCTCAGGCACAACCAGCAGCTATGGCTGCGGCCGCGGGAGTTGCTCCCGAGAATGCTCCACCTGAGGAGTGACTTCAATTACTCACCCCAACATAATCAGCAGTATTGTAATATCAAGAGTAGTAGTAGTAGTAGTAGTAGTAGTAGGAGGCGCCCCCTCCCCTACCAACTATGTTTGCCAGATTGCGCATGTTGAAACTACGTAAAAACTGAGGAAATACTGGCTTTCGTGGGATGCCACAAGGTTTTGTACTTTCGTAACGCGTGGGGATGCCGGGAGAGGGGCTGGGG